TGCAAAAACTGGGACTTCCCTGGTAGTCCAGTGGTTGGTTAAGAATCCGCTTGCAATGTAGGGGACACTGGTTTGATCCATGGTCCGGGAAGATCCCACAAGCCGCAGGGCAACTAAGCCCACCCACCACAGCTGCTGAAGCCCCGACACCTAGAGCCTGTGCTCCTCAACAAGGGACACCACCGCAGTGAGAAGCCAGAGCACATCAATAAAGAGTAGCTCCCGCTCGCTGCAACCAGAAAAAACCTGGATGTAGCAATGAAGACGCAGCACAACCAAAAAAAATTAACAAATATATTTTTTTTAATGTAAAAACCATTCACAGTTCATGGGCTGCACAAAAACAGGCAGAGACCATCTTTGACCCACGGTTTGCTAAGCCCTGATTGGATTTAGGTTAAGAATTCTTCCTAGTGATGGTGATTACCTAACAGTCATTGAAGGAGGAGGCACAAGGACCAACTTACACGAGTTACGGGTGAGTTATGGGATGTCCGCTAAATCTCTCCATTGAAAAGAGAGAGCCTCTCTGCAGAAGCCCGTCAGCTGTGGAGGACTCCTTCTGCATCACGTGAACACTTTGTTCTCCACAACCTTTCACCGAGGCACTTCCCCGGTGGTCAAGTGGTTAGGAATCCGCCTGCCAAGGCAGGGGACATGGGTTCAATCCCTGGTTGGGGAAGCTCCCACATGCTGCAGGGCAACTAGGCCTGTGCACCACAACTACTGACGCCCACGTACCTTAGAGCCCGTGCTCCAAGACATGAGAAGCCGCCACAGCCAGAAGCCCAAACACCGCCAGCTAGAGAGCAGACCCCACTCTCTCCAACGAGAGAAAGCCCACATGCAGATATGAAGACCCAGCACAGCCAAAAATAAACTAATCTTTCAAAAAAATTAAAAACAAACCCCTTTACCTAGTGTTTTTGGCACTTTCAATACACTGAATTGTGTCCCCCGTCTCAATTCATAAGTCGAAGCCAGAACACCAATGTGACTATCTTTCAAGAAAGGGCCCTTGTGGAAATAATTAAGCTTAAATATAGCCATAAGGAGCTTCCCAGGTGGCACAGTGATGAAGAATCCACTTGCCAATGTAAGAGACACAGGAGATATGGGTTCAACCCCTGGGTTGGGAAGATCCCCTGGAGGAGGAAATGGTAACCCACTCCAGTATTCTTGCCTGGAGAATCCCATGGACGGAGGAGATGTGGGGTCGCAAAGAGTCGGACACTGAGCGTGCATTCATGTACCCAAAGCCACAAAGGTGGGGCTCTAATCCAGTGGGCATCCTGATAAGAAGAGACAGTGGACAGTGCCTTCTCTCTCTGCCAGGTGAGAACACATAGAGACGGTGGCCATCTGCAAGCCAGGAAGAGAGTTCTTACAAAAAACCCACCTTGATCTGGAACTGCTAGCTTCCAGAACCGTGACAAATAAATGCTTGCTGTTGGAGCCAGAGTCTATGGCTTTGGTATGGCAGACCGAGGTGACTAACGAAACATCATTGAGAGTTCTTGCCTAAATCGATTATCAGTTGAGGCAACAAGATGGAGCTTTTCTAGTTCTCACATTCCTGCTAGTATATTAGCTGGCATTTTTCTGCAAAGAAAAGCTTTCCTTCAAGTAGCAATGAACTGCAGCCTCTCCAAAAAGAGGCAGGATAAATGCTACATTTTGGAGTTGCTTTTTTTAAAATTTTTTATGAGAACTTCTAAAAACTGTTTGTATGCTGATAGGTTAATTCTTTAGAGAGGGAGAGACGGTGCAAGAGAGGAGGTCACAGAAGGCGTGAAGTCCTAAAAAATGGGAGGATGTGGAGTGCAAGTGGAGGAAGGAAGGGGAAGGCAGAAGAAACGATGTGAACTGGTCATCTGGGCCGACGTACAAGGCCAGCTCACTAAGAAATGTGCCGGAGGATTGCTGGGCCTGGTTGCATGCATGCTAAGTCGCTTCAGTTGTGTCTGACTCTATGCGCCCCTGTGGACTGTAGCCCGCCAGGCTCCTCTGTCCAGAATTCAGAGTTTCTCTGAATTCTCCAGGCAAGAATACTGGAGTGGGTTGCTATTCCCTCCTCCAGGAGATCTTCCTGACTCAAGGACTGAACCCATATCTCTTACGTCACCAGCATGGGCCCTCAGGTTCTTTACCACGAGCACTGCCCAGGAAGCCCACTGGGCCTCATCAGTGTTGTTGGAATCTGGGAGCTGTCACCCTGTCTGTCTGGCAGGTGCTTTTCTCCTCCAGACCCAGAGAAGGTGGATGGTTTGATTGCTGCAGGTCTGGGGATTTCCAGGCAAGCACCCTGGAGGGTGAGGGGCGTGGCAAAGGGGCACCATCACAACTGACCACAGAATCCAATATGGTTGAAAACAGAAGTAAGAGCAAGTGATGGCTAGATGGGAAATGGATAGGAGTGCGCAGCTACTTGCTAGCCCTTGGTTTTTAGTTTTGATATCAGTTTTCAGAATTGATTTAAAGGAACATGCAAGCATGGGAACTGTGAGCACTAATGACAGTGAGGGAGGGTGTCCAACAGGCCCCTCCTGTGGCCTCTTTGTCCTGTGCCCACTGCGGGGAGCAAGTGCCACATGGAGGGAAGGGACTGGACCTGACTCCTGTTCGAGCCTCCACCACCCAGCCTGGCACCGGCTAGTGACAGGGAAGGTTGAGTTTGATTGACTGAATGAATGATAGCAAACACTTTATACAGCACTTACTATGTACAGGTCACTAGTACACATGTACAAGTCACTTACTATGTCTGAGCACACTGATTTCTCCCAAGACTCCTGTAAGGTAGACTGTTCCATTATACAGATGAAGAAACAAAAGCACAGAAAGCTAAAATAATTTGTCCAAAGTCATGGAGCTAGAAAGAGGCAGAGCTGATCTACAGACCAGACAGTCTGGGCCCAGAGAGCCCGTATTCCTCATCACTATGTTATTCTGAATGGATGAATGAGAGTCATAGAATCGGTTTGTCTCTGTCCTGGGTGAAGCCAGGTATTTCTTGTGGTCAGAGCCCGGATCTGGTCAAGAGAGAGCCAAGATAATCAACAATGAACTGAGAACTACTCTGTTCTAGATTGTGATGATGGCCATGAAGGAGACAAACTCTGTGCTAAGGGCAAGAATAAAGGGACCTCCTTAGATGACATGGTCAGGGATGGCTTCTCTGAAGAGGCAGCACTTCAGGTAAAGGATAGAAAAGAGCCAGTGCTGTGAAAAACAAGGGAAAGAGTGTTCTAGGAAGAGGAAACTGCATATGAGAAGATCTTGAGGCAAAAAGTCAATGTATTCTAGGAACTGAAAAGGATTGCAGTGTGGCTGAAGAGGAAGATGGCCCAAAAGGAACTGAAGAGGTGGGCAGGGGCCACGACTCTTGTGAAGCCATGAAAAGGGTTTGGATTTAGTTATTTTTCACTATTATTGAAGTGTATTTTTTTTATTCCAAGCAAAATGAGAAGTAAGCCATTCGAGTTGGGTTTTTGAGTTTGTTTGTTTGCCATTAATGTTTTAAGCAAGGAACTTATGTGGTCTGATCTGCATTTTAAAAGCAGAAACAGTTCTGTTCTTCCATTCATTTGGATATTCAGTCATTGATTCTTGGATATGTTCATTTGTTTTTTAGTTCTTACATTCAGTCATTTATTTTTTCATTGGGCACTTTCATTTGTTTGCCTGTTAGTTCCTTTCCTTCTTGATTGACTCATGCACTCCTGTACTCAGAGAACCTGCCTCTCTGTGCCAAACCTTGCCTGGACTCCAGGAGCATTGCCAAAAGCCAGACACAGTCCTTGCCCTTGAGGAAAACAGACCCCACACCCCACACCCCAGGAACCAGTGGTCGCCAGGCAAATGGTGCTGAGTGCGCTGCTGGAGATGAGAAGCCAGAACCTGAAGGGTGCCAGAGCCTGATAGACTGCGGGGGACGGGGTCCTCAGGGACAGGGATCAGTGTCCTTCATGTCTGTGGTCTCTAAACCTGACAACTGACCGGCAATGGTAAATATGTTTGTTAACTGAACAGGTGGGACAATGGTCAGGCAGGAAGTGCTTGATAGTGGAGGTGATAGTGTCCAGCCAGGGTGAAGCCACCCTCCCCAAGACCCTGCACCTCCATCTCCTCCCCTGTGTCTTCCTCCCCACTCTTCCTCCAATGAGAAAGGCATTCTTACCTGCACCCCACTGTTCTCTGCCGTCCTGCAATCATATTGAGACACACCTGAGCACACGCATGTGCACAAACACACAGGCATTCACATGCATCCCTGCTCACACACAGAAACACACATGCCTACATAATAGGTCCCCGTTGTTGATTCCAAAATTGCAGTCATCGTGTTCATTGCCTACAACCACACACTCACACATCTGTGCTTACACCCCCTCCCAGCCTCCCCACCACATCCCAACACACATACTTCTCCACCAAACAGCCTTCCCACACACATCTCATCCTCCCCAGGCAAGAGAGATTCTTGTGGTCCTGGTTGAAGGCTGAAGAAGTAACAGTGGTGGAAATTGAACCCCAGGTTGAGGGGAGGGGCCTCGAACCCTACTAGTTGAAAAGGCTATAACTGTTGTGATAGAAATTGCTATACTTAGCTTTTCTAAAAGGTAGGTGGATGGGGAGGCTGACACCTTCCTGCTTGCTCAGTGTAGCGGGATGGCTGATTCTGAAAAGCACAGAAGGGTCTTCCGCTGCTCCTCGCTGTCCTAGAACCTCTCCAGGCCCAGTCCCCAAAGATGGCAGAGCATGGTGACTGGAGGCCAAGCAGCTCTGATAACAGCAGCCTTGAGTCAACCGGCTGTGAGAATTTGGGTTAAGGTCTGTCCCCGTGTGGTCCTCGATTTTTCTCAGTTGCAACGGCCAGAGGGCTGAGCAGTGGTAGAGAAATGCCCCCTCTTAACCTCAAATGCAATAATTCTAAATGAGCAGGTGCTTCTGGGTGTGAGGAACCTGCCCCTTTGAAGGGGGTCTCGGGGAAGTCTATGCTAAGGGTTCAGGTCAGCGGAGAGGTGCTGGGGTGGGTCGGGGGTGGGCGGGGAGAGGCCTGGGAAAGCTGAGCAGCGGTAACTCGGGGGAGGTGGGAAGCGGGGGCGGGAGGGCCTGGGATGTGAGGGCCCCTCCCCGCTGCCGCCGGGCAGCTGGCTTGGGGCTGGGGCGTGACTGCAAATTCTGTCGCCACCGCCACCGCGCGCGCCGCCGCCGCTGCAATAAGAGAAGTCCGACGAGGCGGCTTCCTCCTCCCTGACCATAGGGGGACCGCGGTCAGAGGCGGGCAGCACCCCCGTTTGCTCGCCCCCACCCCTTTCGGCACTCGTGGCTGCTGGGAGCCCCGGCCGGCTAGCCCCAGGGTCAGTCAGAAGCGGTCTCGCCTGGGACCAGGTAGGAGCCGTCGGGGGAGCTGGAAGGGCCGGCGGTACCCCGCCCCCAGCCCCTTCGTGGTTAGGAAGAAAGGGGGACGTGGGGTGCGGAGAGGAAGCCCTAAACTTGGGGAGGAGAGCTGAGGGAGTAGAAGGCCAAAGGGACCTCACCCCGAAAAGGACATAAGAAGGAAAACGGAGGGACCCTGGAGAGTGAAAAACTGATACAATTTGGGGAGAGGGCTGAGGGAACGCGGGGAAAGTAGACTAAAAGGACCCCCCAAAAAAGATCTGGTGGGAACCTGCAGAAACGAAGTTGGGAAGGGGCTGAGTCGGAAGAGGGAAACTGGAGGGATCCCCAAAAGGATCTGGGTTGAGAAACTAAAAGGGACCTTGAAAGTGAGAATCTGGGGAGAACCTGAGGGGTCTGGAAGAGAGGAACGACTTTTAGGTGGGCGGGGAGGGAGTCTGCCAGAAAGGAGTCAAGGAAAACCGTTTCTGGAGGACGCGGAATGTGGGTCGCAATCCCGAGGGTCCAGGAAGTCTCTCTATCCGGAATCAGCAGAAGTCGGAGGTGGGGTGAGGCCAGCGGCCGGGAAGGGAGGGGAGGCTATCACAAGCGCCCCCCTAGACGCTGCAGCCCCGCACAGGTGGGCGGGTCCCGGATGGCGAGGGGACTCCTGCAACGCGCAGGAGGCGTGGGTCCCGGTTTCCTGGGGAAGTCCCCGCCCTCTGCAGGGATGGGCCTCTCTGGGTGCCCCCTCCCCGCCCGCAGCGGTGATCTCGGTCCACGTTCCTCTCGGGATCCGGGAATTGCTGGCCGCCCCGACGGAAATCCTGCCTTTGACCGCGATTGCCGGGAGGGGCTGTCTCCATGGTTACAAGAGGGCGGAGGGACTGAGCCCTGCTCTGGGCTGCCGCGGGGCTTAACGCCCGCGTTGCCCTCTGTGGGCCCCTCCCCCGCCCCCATTTTGAGTCCTTAGTTGGGGGCGAGCTGCGGGGCAGATAAGTAAGGCGACGATGTGCAAGTGTTCAGGGATCGGGGCGGCGGGAGATCTGCAGTCTCAGGGTCTTAGCCAGACTGGAACCTTGATTGCTGTGTGACTTTAGGCAAATTATGGGGCCTCTCTGGGCCTTAATTTCCTCATTTGCATTATGTAGGAAATTATCCCTGCCCCTACCCAGCTTCCACCCCCCAGCTTATCCCCAGTCTTGGGACTCGGGTGCAGTAAGCAGTTCCCCCCACCCCCATCTCCCACCCCACCCGGTGTCCTGGGGGTAGCCTCTTCAGTTTCTCATAAGCGTAGAGCTGGACCAGAAAGCCTGACAGGGCCTCCAGGGACAAAAACACAGGTGACTTCTTATAAAATAAATATTTGTGGGGCTGTTGAGGCCCCATACTGGGAAAGTCAGCCAGTTTGAGACTGTCCTTGACCCTTCCCTTATTATTATTATTATTTTTTTTTTTTTGGTGATTTTTTGTGTGTGGGTTTATGGTATAAACACCGGTTTGTCAGCAAGTTTTGCTCTTCTCAATTCCAAATAATGCAAAGTTCAAGAATATGCATTTCATTGCAACTTCGTTTTCTTTTTTTAAATTGTTTTATTTAAAAAAAAAATGTTTGGCCATGCTGCGTGGCACGTGGGATCTTAGTTCCCCAACCAAGGATTGAACCCATGCCTCCTGCATTGGAAGCATGGAGTCTTAACCTCTGGACTGCCAGGGAAGACCTGAAACTTCATTTTATTGAAACCAGTGATCCCTGAGTCTTTTGACATCCTTCCATCTGTGAGTGTGGTGGTGGGAGAGCGAGGCTCTGTTCCCACTTCTCAGATGGGAAGATGGAGGTTCGGGAGTGAATAACTGACAGGTCAGCAGTAGGGACCCAGAAGCCGGGGCATCCTGTCCCTGATGTGGTGAAGGATGTAGACAGAACTGAAGCCTACATTCCCTCCTCATCCCGACCAAATTCCGTTGCCCTCTGGAGAGGAGAGGGGAGCCAGGGGGGCAGTGGTGAAAAAACATATGGGTTTCCTGGGCTGTGTGGCTGGTTCTTGCTTCCCAGTGGGTGTGAAACTGTGAGTGAGGGTGGAGAGTGTTTTTGAGTATGGTTTGGGCTGTGAGTGAATGAGCTTGAGCATGTGAGCATGTGTGTGGGTGTTTGGGTGTTCTTTGCAGCCACCTGGGGCTGATGTGGCAAAGGAAGTGGCCAGACCTTGGGAGGATGGGCAGGGGGACCCCAGGGCGGGGGAAAGAGGACCCAGGGCCCTTCCTGCACAGTCACCCAGGCTGGCCTCTGACCGGACCTGGGGAAGGGGACTTCCTGTCTGGCCGCGCTGTGAAATTCAGACTCCTACTCCCTCAGTTCACCCTGGACCAACTCATGGCTTTCCATCCCCCAAGAATCTCAAGTCCCTTAAGATCTCTATTTTAGAGGCTAGTGGGTAGGTTTTCAGCAACCGATGAGAAAACACTTTTACCAACAAGAAGTGGAGAAAATTCAGCTGACACGGTGAGGACCCTGTGGATGGGAAAGCTAGTGTGGCCCCTCCCTCACCCCCACACACTGGCCTTACCAGAGTGATAGAATCAGAGCCGGCTTTGTCTTCTTAGCCCCTAGGTGTTAGGGGTGGGGGTGATAAGGCCTGAGTGATGTGAGATGGTTGGAGGTTCTATGAGAGATGCAGGCCTCAGTGAGGGAGATGGAGGCTCAGGAAGGGCACGAGAGCCAGGGAGGGGTGGAAGGTCTCAGTGAGGAATGGAAGCCTTCATCAGAAGGGCCAGGCCTTGGCGAGGGATGGGCTGCAGCGAGCCTGAGACTTGGGCCTGCCCACCGGGCCAGCCTGAAGCCCTGAGGAGAAGCCGGAACTCTTGCTGGATGGTGGTTTCCTGTGCCTGTTCAGTCCCAGTTCCCTTTTGGTGAAATCCCCCAGGCAGCTGGGCCAGCTCAGCCCTCCCACCTCACCCCAGCACTTCTCTTTCTTCTCTGCCCCGTCACGTCTCCTCCCTCGGCCTTGGAGGGGGCTTCCTCAAGGAAGGGATCTGAAGTGAAAGTTCACAGAGCAACTAGAGTGCACCCGGTGCTTTTAGGGGCTTGACCGCAATTGAGGCTCAGGAGCAACCCCAGGAGGCAGAGATTTAGATTCCTATTTTCTAGGCGAAGAGACTACAGCTCAGCGAGAAGTGAAGCGACCTGCCCAATGTCTCAAGTCGGGTAGAATTTAAGCCGAAATCAGTCTCCAGATCCCACAGATACTTGGCAGAAGTCAGGGGGGGAACAGGACATCCTGTGTCTACATCAAAGCCCTGATGTGCTGTTGGCAAGTATAGACCTCAAGAAAGGATGGGTGCATCTGGGGCTCCTATGTCCAGGAGGAAGGGTGGGAGGTGGGCAGTTTCTCCGCTTTGTGGCCAGCTACCATATATATGGCAGGGGTGGTATGATCAGTTGTCCAGGGACTGGGTAGGAAATATGACATTCACCAATCAGAGAGAGCATGACCGCCCTGCTCAGGCTTTGGAGAGCACAGCTGGGAACAGAACTCTGTACATGAATTAATAGTGCTGGCTTTGAATCCCAGGTCTGGCTGTTTGACCTCCAACAACTCACTTCCCCTATCCACACAAGAGAGAGGTAGACTGATAAATCATCCCTGGGGGCCCTTCTAGCTTTGCTGCTTATGGTTCTCAGCCTCTCTTAATCACACTGGCCAAGAGCCTTTCCAACAACTGCACAGAAGATAGAGATGCAAAAACAGAGGCTCGGAAGGCTGATGTCATTCAACCAAGGCCCCAAAACTCGGGAGGGCCACACAGAAGGGAAGATGCTGAAGGTGGGAAACACCATGGTCCAGGATTGGACCTCAGCTCTGACATCCACAGCCTGATTTTGACCCAGATCAGACTTTGGAAGCCAATTCCTGTCAACCAGATGTTCAAGAGGCCTGTTTATTAACAGACTCAAGTCCCTGCAGTGACCAGAACGCTTGTGGTGGGTCTCTGAGCCGCTCCCTTTGTAAGCAGGCAACCTATATCGGTGCTGTGAAAAGAGAGACCTGGATTCAGATTTCTAAGGGCTATTGAAAATTGGTGGTTGCTGAGAGACCCTGGGCAGGTCACTTCCCCCGCGCTGGGCTGTAATGTGGATTCAGGGTGTGTAGCACGGCGCTTGGCACTCTGTGAGGGCTCATGAAGGTGCATACTGTATTGATTTCACGAGGACTTCAAAATACAGCAGTGCTTATGATGGACTTTGGAGCCAAATTGATTGGGGTTGTGTTTTAGCTTCCCCTTATTCACTGTGTAGGTAGTCTTTGGGAAGTTATTTAACACCTTTGTGACTTGGTTTCCTTATCTGTAAAATAGGGGTAATAATAAAACCTACCTCATAGGGTCACTAAATGAGATCAATCATGGGACTTGCTTGGCATTGTGCCAGGCACAGAGTGAAGTGAAGTGAAGTGAAAGTCGCTCAGTCGTGTCCGACTCTTTGCAGTCCCAGGGACTGTAGCCTGTCAGGCTCGTCTGTCCATGGAATTGTCCAGGCCAGAATACTGTAGTGGGTGGCCATTCCCTTCTCCAGGGGATCTTCCCAACCCAGGGATGGAACCCAGGTCTCTTGAATTTCAGGTGGATTCTTTACTGTCTGAGCCACCACCAGGGAAGCCCCAGGCACAGAGTAGGTGGTTAATACATTAACGTTTTAAAACTAATAGTTGTCGCCTCCCCACCCGCTTCCCCAGATTTCTAGGAAGTCAAATTATGCCCCTAGGCATTGGTAGCTTGTAGCTGAGACGAGAGCTAGGAGGACAAAGATTCCTGGGGGCTGTTTTCATGCAGATGCCGAGCAGAGAGGGCCCTCCGTGTCCCCTTTCTCTTTCCTCTTTGTCTCTTTAGATCTCTCTGTCTCTACCCCTCTGTTTCTCAGCCTCTGTCCCCCTCTGTCTCGCTGCCTCTCATTTCAGTCTCTGTTTGTCTCTTTGTTTCTTTCTGGCAGTGGTGTGCTGGAGCCAGCTACCTAGTACCGGCCCTGGGGAGCTGATTCTGCAAATCTCTTTCCAGCCCAGCATTCAGCAAGTCACTTCGGTAACTTGAAATCGGCCATGGTGGGAATATTTACACCATGGAAATCAGCAAATGCTATAAATCTGGGCCTTTTTATTTCCCCGTTTCTTTTAAGAGTCAGTGTACCAGCACGGACACGACTGAGCGACTGAACTGAACTAAACCGATACCAACACACCCTCACCCCTGCCCCCGCTGCCCACACCATCAGCCTTGCCAGGGCTCTCCCTCTGCCTCCTTCTTGGAGGGTCTCTGAACCCCCTCCCCATTCCAGGTTTGCAGAATTCAGGGATCCTCTTAGGCTGATTTTTAAAGATGGGGGTAACATATACCTGTGTATTGTTGGCAGTGGCGGCATCATGTCTAAGTGGGGACTCAAGAGATCGTGTAAGTTTGAAACTCGTAGAGAGGAGCTCTGTGTGGGTCTGTGACTGGGGGAGAGGAAGACTACATATATCTCTGGGTTTCCTGGTGGAGGCTCATTACACCTGTGTGTGCTTGAAGGAATGGCTGGAATCCTCTGTGTCTGTGACCAGGCAATGGAGAGAAGTGGTTCAGACCCTGGAACCAAATGCCAGGATACCTCATCTGTGTGGCCTTTGGCAAGTTTCTAAACCACTCTGTGCCTTGGGTGCCTTAGCATTAATAATAATACTTAACCTTGTAGAGTTGTCGTGAGAATAAAATGAGGTAATATGTATAAAGTGTTTAATGCAGTGGCTGACATAGAGGAAGGCTGTAATGGGAGAGGCTCTGTGTGTGTGTGTAAATGGGTGAAGGCTGAAGGTGTGTGTCTATTCCTAGATGTCTATGTCTGTGAATCTGTACAGAGGAGCTCAGAGACTCCATGTGAGGCTCTGTTGTGTAGCCGAGGTGACGGGGGTGTCTGAGAATGTGTTGGCAGGGCTGTGTGCCGTCTGAGATGTGCGCGTGTCTTCCTGTGAGAAGACCTCCATTCTCACCCTGAAGGTTGTGTTTTCCTCTTACCCCCATCTGTCCCCTGAGTGCCTGAATCCCCTCCCTTGGCTGGAGATGCCCCTCCTCCACCTCTGTGTCTATACTCTCCATGAGCCTCACCAGCCCTGTAGCACCTTGGAGCCTTTCAGACAGTGGCTTCACCCCAGGGGAGGGGTCCTGAGGTCCTGAGGCGAAGATCTCGGCAATGGCTTGGTGAACGGGGGCTATTTTGGAGCTCAAACCACAGCCTGCCTCATAGTTCACCACATGGGTGTCACCCCCTACACATACACGGGAGAACGGTTGCAGCAGAGCATGAGACAGGCTGGTGGGTCTAGAGCGGGGGTCACAAGGCACTGATGTGACAGGGCCATCAGCCAAGCAGCTAGATCTGGTGGATCCAGGAAGGCTTCCTGGAAGAGGTGAGTGGTGCTGGCTGGACAGGTGGGGCCGGACCCATAGAGAGGAGAGGGGGGATATCCGTAAAGGGAACCAGACTCAGGAGTGAAGAAAGGCAAGGCAGGACACCTGTCCTGAGGGTCCTCTGGGAGAAACGAAGGCACACCGGGTTGGCCCCACCCTGGAGCTCACATCTGAGGAAGTTGAGCCCTTTCCCCGGCAGTTCCTCTCTAAGTGTTGCAATGGCGGAGTTTCTGGCAGGGCGTGGAGAGCCCTTGCTCAATGACCTGCCTGCCTTGTCACTCAGAGGACACAGCTACCGGGAAAGCCTTGGCTCCCTTGGGGGCACCCCAAGTCAGACCTGGTGGTCCTGACTTCTGACTTGGGCCTTTCCATGGTGTGGAACAAGCTCTGGAGGTAGGTTCCTCCTTCCCTCGGCTACTCAATGTAGTCCTGGGGTTGCTGGGGTTTACCCAGACCAGGGTGGGTGCTAAGGCAGAGCCCAGAGGGAGGGCTTGGTTTTAGAAGACAGTGATCAGAGGCCTAGGGGGAACTGAACAGGGCTGACGGAGACCTGGGTCTAACCCAGAGATGTGCATACGTGAGTGTATGAGTCTGTTGGCCTGAGCGGGCAACCTGTGTGCACGTGCATGCGTGCACGCTACCGTGCACCGGGGCCTGGGCTCGTGTGGCTTAGTTGTGTTGCTGTGTGGCGGTGCTGCTGAGCCCACTCACGCAGGGGTGCGTGTACGTGTTGCGTGTGACTCTGCTGCTCGTGTACTGATGTGTCAGGTGGAGATGAGTGTGAGAGGGCTGGCGTGGGTGGTAGGTCTTGTGTGAGGGTGGATGTTTAAGTGAGCCGTGGAGGCCAGGACGAAAAGGAAGGAGGAGTCCTGTCGGGGCAGAGCGCAGGCCCCTGGCTTCCCTGGAGAGGACGGGCGTGGGCATCTGGCCGCCAGAAGCCTGGCAGGGACTTCATCTTCCGTGTCCTCTGTCTCGCCCTCAGGTCTCCGGCCCCTCCCAAGGACCATGCCGCAGCCCCACTGACGCAGGAGTAGGGGCCTGAGGGGTGAGTGGGGGCTGAGGGCTCCCCGGGTCAGGAAATGGGGTGGCGGTGGCCTCTCTGGGCCCCACAATTCCTCACAGCCCCTTCCTCCTACAAGGGCCCTGTTGCTAGGTAACAGATGGAGGAGCCAGAGTGAGGCAGCTTGAAAGGCCAGAGGCTGGACCCACGACAGGAAATGGCCTTGATCCCCCTCTGCAGGGACTCTCCAGGTGCAGGCACACAGCCCTCACACGCACTCACACACAAACATGCATCGACACACAGACATGCGCACATGCACGGACACGCACATACCCACACGGACTGACGCAGACCTGCACACACAGATACACACACGCAGACAGGCACAAGTGCTCCCACACAGGGCCACATGCATGGTCATGACACACAGACGCACTCACTCACACACACCTGCAAACACAGACACACACACCCATTCTGACACAGAAACGCGTGCATATGGACACACTCCAACAGATATGAGCACACAGAGTCGTTTCATACAAGAACGTCCACACACTCACATACACACAGACACAGACATTCACAAAGAGCTGCCCAGACACACACAAAGACACGCACCCACAAGCAAACTCACAAATACTTAGAGACACAAGAAAGATACACACACAAGCACTCTGAGGGGGTCATAGAAACCCAACACACTGAAGCAATAGGAGGCAAAAACATATAAATAACATATAAATAAACATCCCGAAACAGAAAACCAGTCCCGTGGAGGAGATACATACTCTCCAGAAACACTAAAGCAGCTGTGGGGGTGAACAGAATGGTGACCCTGCCCCCCTTTATCCCTCCACTTGGGGAGGACCCCCTTCCCCCAGGCCTGAGCAAGGCAGCTGCACGCCTGTGTACATGTATGTCAGTGTGCGTGCATGTGTGCCTAGGGTGGCAGGTTTCACAGGGACCCCAGAGTGAAGCATGCCCCCCTTCTATAGCAGGGCACCTGGCATGGGCTGTGTGTTCTGCAAGAAGTTGGAGCCAGGGGCCAAGGAGGATGGTAGCCTAGAAGGGGACTTCAGGAGCTATGGGGCTGCAGACCGCTACGGCCCCGACCCTACTCAGAGCCGGCCTACATCTTCCTTTCCCCACATCCCCAACTACAACAGCTTCTCCCCTCAGCCCGCCAGCTCCGCCTTCCTTGATGCGGGCACCATCCGGGGCATCTCAGGTGAGTCCAGGGGCCTGGAGGCAGGCACTGACTGGACCCTCGCAGGACCTCGGGGGAGGAGAGACTTGGCCTTGTCCTTCGTAACCTCCAGGATGACCTGGGAGACACAGCCCTGCTTTTAGCGCCCAGTCTGAGGGAGTGCGTCCAGCCCTACCCTCAGAAACCCCCATCTGAGGGGCAGACAGAGCTCTGTTCCCCGTCTGACAGAAGGACTCTGAAGACAGTTACCAGTGGGATGTCTGCTTGGTGGGGGAGAGCAGAAGGGACTCCCAGGGAGCCCCCAAGGGGGGAGGGATGAGCTCGATGGTATGTGTCCTGAATCCATGAGGTCCAAATCAGAAATCCACTGGATTCCAAAGACCTTTGAGCTCAGGGCGCTGTCGCAGTGGGGAGGCAGAGCGCCTGTATGGGGAACAGGACTCTGGGGGTGCAGCTTCTGGGGGGCCCTCTGATGAGTAACCCTGGCTCTGCAGGGACTGGGGTGACCATGTTCATCGCTCTTTATGACTATGAGGCCCGAACGGAGGACGATCTCACCTTCACCAAGGGCGAGAAGTTCCACATCCTGAACAACACGTAAGTGATCAGGCGCCCCCAGCTCAGGACCCAGAGAGGAATCTTACCTGGTCCTTGTCCTCAGGAAATGCCAGTCTAACTGGAGAAGGAGACATGACAATAACAATCTCTGGGTAACTGCTACTTTGTAGGGGAAGCCTGAGGAACTACGGGCACGGAAAGAATACCAACCAGGGCCTCGAGGGTGGCAGTGATCAGGGCAGGCTTTCTGTAGGAGGTGATTTCTAAACTGAGACTAGAAAAATGAAGAGACATTGAAAGAAGAGGTAACAAAAAAGGAAGAGAGTTAGAATGAAACTAAATGATGACTTCTGGAAACCACCAAGTGGTTCAGTATAGGAGGGTCATAAAGTCTGAAGTGCAGAACAGATCCTGGAGGACTGGGTGGGAACAGATTCCGCAGGGCTTTTTAAGCCATCTTGAGGAGTCTGGATTTTATCAAGAAGGAAATGTAGCCATTGGAGGGGTTTTTAATGGGGAAGTGACCTAGTTAGCTGTTCACTGCCTGCCCAAACCCCAGCCCAGCTGAGGTGCCAGAAAAGAACGCCAGGAGGCCCAGATGTCCCCACACATACTCCTTCTGCGGAGAAAAAACTCCCAGGGCAGCTGCAGTGGCTGGGGGCAAAACAGGCAAAAGCCCTGGGGGTGGTGTGTTCCGGGTGAGGGGTTGGCAGGGGCAGTGTTCGCCTGATCCTTGATGTGACCCTGCCTGGCCCCACGGTGCCCCAGGGGCTAGGTTGCCAATGAAACCCTCTGTTCTGTGTCTCCAGCGAGGGTGACTGGTGGGAGGCTCGGTCCCTCAGCTCCGGACACACTGGCTACATTCCCAGCAACTACGTGGCCCCTGTGGACTCCATCCAGGCTGAAGAGTGAGTAAGGATGGGGGGACGCCAGCCTCAAGGGCAGGGCTCTGGAGTCCAGATTCAAGGCCACTCTTGAGCAAGTTGCAGCTACACTCTGAGTCTGTCTCTTTATCTATAATCCTGTGAGGCCATTGTGAGGATACGAGAAGATACGAGAGATGATACTAACAGTTGGTAATGTTATCCAGCACGTACCATGTTCTGAGCACTATTCAGAGTGTTTTCTGTGTATTAACAAAGTCAGAAACTAATACTATACTGGTTTACAAATGAGGAAACTGAGGCAGAGAGGAATATCCTGCCCAAGTTCACATGGCTAGTAAGTTCCTGGAGCTGGTATTTGAACCCAGCTAGTCTGGCTACATTTGCTAAGCATTATATATATATGAAAGTGCAAGTTAGTCGCACAGTCATGTCCAACTCTTGGCAATCCCATGGACTGTAGCCTGCCTGGCTCCTCTGTCCATGGAATTCTCCAGGCAAGAGTACTGGAGTGGGTTGCCATTCCCTTCAGCCCAGGGACTGAACTTGGGTCTCCTGTGTTGGAGGCAGATTCTTTCCCAACTGAACCACTAGGGAAGCCATATATAAATACATATTCTCTCAGCGATAACAACAGTGTACGAGCTTTTTAAAAAACCGTGAAGTGCTAAACACATAGAAGGAGATATTACTTAGAATAAATTCTGTTAAGTAATCAAAGAAATATCATTTTTTAATACCCTGATGAAATTGAGATACTGTGACAGGTACTTTATATACCTTGATTCATTTAATTCTCTATGGATTTTACGGACGAGGAAACTGAGGCTCACAAACAGTTTTTATCTAGCTTCACATATACATCCATATATAGGAAAAGTAGAGATGGGAGAGACCGCAGAGTAGGAGTCACAAGGACTTGGTGACTGATTTGCTGCTGGGTTGTGGGAAGTGAGAGGAATCCAAAGTGACCCAAAGGCTTCTTGTGGAGCCAAGTGGGTGCTGTTTGCTAAAGTGGGGAACCCAGGAACAGGTACAGATACATGAGGAGGGGTTTGCTTGTTAGGTGGAATTCATGGAGGGGAACACTCACAATTAGGTCAGCAGTTAGATTGGGTATGCTTTGTATGAGAACTGCCCAGCCATGCTAAGCCATGTGCCGGCATTAGCCCAGATGAAGGGGCATCCTTTTCTAACCATCACTGAGATTCCTTAGTTTGTTGGCTGTGGCTCTTGCAGAGGTCACGCCTGGGCTGGGGTGGAAATTCAGGACTCTTCAGAGTGGAAAGAACCGTCAGAGCTGCACAGAGGAGTGAAGGAAGAAAATGACAGAGACTGGTCCTAGGACCCAACTCTGGAAAAAGCTGGACGTGAGGGAGAAGGAGCTGTTGGCAGACCAGGCCAGGCCAAGTCAGAACAACCAAGAAGGCAGGGGGGAGGTTTCAGGAAACAAGAGAGGGAATGTCAGAAGCTGCCACTGGATTTGGCAACAGGGTTGGCCTTGGTCAGACATCCCTCCGCGTGAAGTCAGGGTGGAAGCCAGACAGCAGAGCCTGGGAGGGAGTGGGAGGTGAGGAAGCAGAGACCCGGTGTGAAGGGCTTTTTCAAGTGAAGGAAGGTGAGAGATACAGCAGAACCTTGGTGGTAAGATAGAGCTTAGAATGGTTTCCTTTGGGGAAAGAAGAAGTGTGGCCACATGTAGGGGCTGGTGGGATGGAGAGGAGGCAGATGGGGGCTGGTCGCTGGGGGAGAGGTGTCCCTGAGCAGAGGCCAGTGGACGGGCTCCAGAGCTCAAATGGCATGAGGCCTTCATCCGAAGAGGGTGATAGGAGACTTCTTGGAGGAGAGGAGAGGTGATGAGGCAGGTGAGAAATCTGGGGGTCCACATCTCAGAGGCAGTGTCATGAAGCTCTGAGAGGTGCTCCGTGCAGCATTGTGGTTAAGAGTGCTGTCGTGGTTAAGAGCGCAGGCCCGAGAGCAGACAGCTTGGGTTCCTATTCTGGCAGCACAGCTTAAGAGTTGTGTAGCTCTGGGTAAGTTGCTTAACCACTAGGTATTTCAATTTCCTCATCTGTCTAATGGGGGTTAATAACTACTTATTTCACAATATTGTTATAAGAATGAAATGGATACACACATGTAAGACAGCAGAGCCTGACACAGAATAGGTGCCGTTATTTTGTGTCATTGATTAAGGAAGTAGCTAATATCCCGGTGTGAGGAGGGGGCAAAGCATTGAAAAAACTTGAGACTGTGATCTGTCTACACAGCTTCTCCTTTCCCCTCCCTGCCTGCCTGCCTGGACACTACTCGCCAATACCTTTCCTTGTTCCCCAGACTGTGCTTAGTAACCAGGCACGGCTTGACAGTCCCAGAGTTCACTGAGACTGCCACCTCCCTTATTTTGAAAACTGTGCTTCTTTTAATTCAGCCCAAAATGATCATAAGCCAATTTAGCGATCAAATGACACCTGAGTCTTCTGTGGCACCTATGGTCACTTTGGCTGTCCTCGCATTGTACTCTCACCATTGGCTCAAGGCTACAGTTCAGTCCCAGGAGGTATATTCAAGAGATAGCAGGAATACTTGAGGTCTCAGTTGAAGTTGAGACTTAGAACAACATCCAGACTTTAGAAAGTGGAGGAAAAGCAGCAGTCAGAACTGGGCAGGAGCAGTTCAAAAGAGGGAGAAGGGGACTTCTCTGGTGGTCCAGTAGTTAGGACTGAGCGTCCTAACTACTGCCTTGGCCTGGGTTCAATCCCTGGGGCAGGGAACTAAGATCCCACAAGTCATGCTCTATGGCCAAGGGGGTAAAAAAAGAAAAGAAGAGTAGCAGAAAAAGGTGTTGTTCTGGACGCCAAATGAGGAAAGGGTTTGAGGGGCATGTGGAGAGAGGAACCAGAGTGACTGCATGTGATGATGGGAAAAGAAGTAGGGTGGGAGGCAAAGGTTTTAGATAGCGCTCATCAGCTAGCCTTGTGGGCAAGTCAGTTCTCCTCTCTGAACCTCAAGTTCCTCATCTGTAAATGAGCCTATGGAAGGAACTGTAGTGACCCCCTGATGACGTCTAGCAATTTTAATTCGGGAGACACTCAGAGAGGAGATTTCCCTAGTGGTCCAGTGATTAAGAATCCACCTTCCAATGCAGGGGACAGGGATTCGACCCCTGGTCCTGGAGCTGAGATCCCACGTGCCGTGGGGACAACTAAGCCCATGCACACAACTACTGAGCCCGCCCTCTAGATTGTGTGAGCCCCAACTAGGGAGAAGCCTTCGCAGTGAAAGGAAGATCCCTTGCAGCCAAATAAATAAATAACTAAGAGGGAAACCCGGAGAGGGAAGAGGAGAAGCCTAAGCTTCATAGGGTAACTTCTGTGTGCCAGGCATTCTCTACATCTCTGCTCTGTGATCCTCCTTGTCAGGCTGCAAAGCAGTTTTGTGATCCCGTTTCATGGGTGAGGAAATTGAATCTTGGCTAGTGAGGTGACTTTTCCTGGGAGGCTCAGTTGGGGGTTGAGCCAGGTGTATCTGACTCTCGCTGGCCTTTCCCAACAGGTGGTACTTCGGAAAGATCGGGAGGAAGGATGCTGAGAGGCAGCTGCTCTCCCCAGGGAACTCCCGAGGGGCCTTTCTCATTAGAGAGAGCGAGACCACCAAAGGTGAGGGTTCTGCCACTGCCCACCCAATGAGGGCAGGCTAGCCATTTGGGTGGGGCTAGGAGCAATGGGCTTCCCTTGTGGCTCAACTGGTAAAGAATCTGCCTGCAATGCGGGAGACCTGGGTTTGATCCCTGGGTTGGGAAGATCCCCTGGAGAAGGGAAAGGCTACCCACTCCGGTATTCTGGCCTGGAGAATTCCTGTATAGTCCATGGGGTCGCAAAGAGTCGGACATGATTGAGCAACTTTCACTTTCACTTCACTTTCAGGAGCAGTGGGGTGGGACTTGGGTCAGGGCCAAGACTGGGACAGGGTTGGAGGGGCTGAGCTAAGACAGGGACTGGGTTCAAGGGGTGTGGCCATCCAACTGCAGAGTCCCCAGCCTTTTGGGCTTCCCCAGGCTCCCAGACTAGGGGTGGTAAAGAGGAAAGCAGACCCAAAGGTGATCCTTGCCCACAGGCGCCTACTCCCTGTCCATCCGGGATTGGGACCAGGCCAGAGGCGATCACGTGAAGCATTACAAGATCCGGAAGCTGGACACCGGGGGCTACTACATCACCACGAGGGCCCAGTTTGACTCCGTGCAGGAGCTGGTGCAGCACTACCTTGGTGAGGGCAGCCCTTCAGGCTGGCGTGCGTTTGAGATTCCTGAACCAATCGGCTGCGACTGAGGTGCCCAGGGAAGGGAAGGGGCTCCCAAAACAGTTGTGCCTGGACTGGAACTAAAACCCAAGTTGTCTGGACGCCTGGCCCGGGATCCTGCTCTGTAAGTTTCCAGAGGAAACTGAGGCATGAAGCTCTGTGTGGTCGGAGAGCGCCCCCCTAACGTCTGAGCTGAGTAGGAGACTGAATGGACCTGACTTGGAGGATGGGCTCTAGGGTGGAGGAGAAGTTTAGCATCCAATCCCAGTTTTTGCTTTGGTTGGTTAGGCCAAGCATAGGTCTGTGGAAGGGCGAAGGCTTCGTGTCCACACCTTTGTCTGGAATTCCCAAGTCCATTTCCACCTGTCAGAATCCCATCTTATCCTTGGAGGCCCAGCTGGGGGCCACCTCTTAAGGGAAGGCCATCAATCCTTATAGGAATCATCTCTCCCTCGGGTGCCACCTCCTTCCCAGGGCAGCAACATGTTCACCTACTCAGTGGGCTGGGTTGCCTTCTGCCTTGGCCTGTGACCCTCAGCTGTGCTCTAGTGGCTTATAACTGGTCTTGGAGGCTGGGGTTGGAATGAGGAATGTGTGGAGGGAGCATCCTGGCCGCCTTTGACCTTCAACTTCCCAATGCCCCGCTGCCCAGAGGTGAATGATGGGTTGTGCCATCTGCTCACTGCGGCCTGCACCACCATGAAGCCGCAGACGCTGGGTCTGGCCAAGGACGCCTGGGAAATCAGCCGCAGCTCCATCACGCTGGAGCGCCGACTGGGCACCGGCTGCTTCGGGGATGTGTGGCTGGGTACGGAGGTCCCGAGAGCGGGGGAGGGGGTGTGGGTGGGAGTGGTGGTGTGCGGGATCGGGGCCGAGGCCGGGGCAAGGTCTGGGGGCGGCAGGGAGCTGGTCCAGACAAGCCTTTCCACTCAACAGGCACGTGGAACGGCAGCACCAAGGTGGCGGTGAAGACGCTGAAGCCCGGCACCATGTCCCCGAAGGCCTTCCTGGCGGAGGCGCAGATCATGAAGCTGCTGCGCCACGACAAGCTGGTGCAGCTGTACGCGGTGGTGTCTGAGGAGCCCATCTACATCGTGACCGAGTTCATGTGCCACGGTGAGGGGCGGGGTCAGCACGCGGGGTCTGGGAAGGCGGGGTTTTCGGGGGGATTCCCAGTTTAAGGTGGGTTTATCTGGGGGAGGAACCGGGGTGGTGATTTGTGAAGGGACGAGGAACGCTGGGCAGAGGCCGAGTGAGGGGCCCTGGAATGAGAAAAAAAACACTGGGAGTTTGGGCGGGGCCAAGGTAGACTGGGCGGGGTCTGTGGCAGGGGGCGGAGCCTCGTGGGGCGGTCCAAGACATGTGGGCAGAATAGGGTTGTCGGTGGGAGTAGGGTCTGGGCGAAATCCGTGAGGGGTTGAGGCACCTGGCGGGATCTCCAGTGGGTGTGTGTGTGGGGTTGGGGCGACGCGGATCTAGGGTGAGAGGCCTGGGAGCAGGGGGCGAGGCCAAGCGAGAGAAGGCAGGCCCTAGGCTGGGAGTAGGGTCTTAACTGCTGCTTTTCTTTCTTTTTTTTAAATTAATTTATTTTAATTGAAGGATATTTACTTTACAATACTGCGATGGTTTTTGCCATGCATCAGTATGAATCGGCCATAGGGATACATGTGTCCCTTCCACCCTGAAGGTCCCTCCCGCCTCCCTCCCTATCCGTATCCCTTCGGGTCCTCACAGAGCACCAGGTTTGGGTGACCTGCTTCCTACATCAAACTGGTTATCTCTTTTGCATATGGTAATGCACATGTTTGGATACTAGTCTCTCAAATCATCCCACCCTCTCCTTCTTGCTGCTGATTTTCTGAGTTCTCCTTCCCAGGTAGCTTGCTGGAGTTCCTCAAGGACCGGGAGGGTCATGTTTTGAAGCTGCCCCATTTGGTGGACATGGCAGCACAGGTAAACTGAGACAGCCGCCTTTATCTCTCAGAGCCCCTCCTATTATCTTCCACAAACCCTTGGGTCCTCCAGCACCTAGCCTGCTCCTGGAAGTGCAGCCCCAATGCCTGGACCATCTGTGCAACCTGAGGCAGGACCCTGCCTCTCTCTTTGGGCCCCACTCTGAAAAATGGGATTTTTTTCAAAAGATCGCTTACACAAATATGGTGTTCTCATCTCTCTATACCTTCGCCCCCAGGTTGCTGAGGGCATGGCCTACATGGAGCGCATGAACTATATCCACCGTGACCTCAGGGCAGCCAACATCCTCGTCGGGGAGCGGCTGGTGTGCAAGATTGCTGACTTCGGGCTGGCCCGTCTCATCGAGGATGACGAGTACAACCCCCAGCAAGGTGACCTGCCTCACCCCTCCTTCCAAGAGCTCCCCAGCGCACCAAGGGGCTGCCCTGGGGCCCCGCCTCCTCCCAGACCATCCCGGACACTTCTACTCCTATATAATGTAAAAGGCAACTCTGGGTTCAAGCCCAGTTCCTCCACTTACCAGCCATGTGGCCTTGGGCAAGTCACTTAACCTCTCTGGGAGCTGTCTTTTCTCACAATGGAATTCTCAGTGAATAATCCCAATGAAAATACTCAGACAACAAATATTTATCAAGCACCTCCTATGTTCCAGGCACCTCTATAAATCTCAAGTGAAAGACCATAGAGTGTAATAGCAAAAATACTGTAGCCAGAATGCCTAGGTCTGAATCCTAGCCACTTGGAAGCTGCATGATTTGGGCAAGTTATTAACTACTAAGTGCCACCTTTTCCTCTTCTGTACAATCGGGATAATACTAGTAAAAAAAAATAATAATAAAACTCACAGGGTTTTCCTGAAGGTTAACATGAGTTAATGCACGTAAATTGCTTAAAACAGTGCCTGGCACATGGTCGAGGCTATATGGGTGTTAGCTATAATTATGATGAGAATTATTACAATGTTTGCAAAGTGCCCAGCACTATACTAGACCCTTAGTAAGTTCTGGCTAGATACCAGGTCTTTCCTGTTATGCCCAGAGACCTCTGTGCTTAGAGTTCCCATTCCTAAAGATGCCATTCTTTTAATCCAGCGATTCCCAGGGATTTCTTCACTAACTTTCCCTTCTCCCTCAATCTCTCCAGGGACCAAGTTCCCCATCAAGTGGACAGCCCCAGAGGCTGCCCTCTTTGGCAGATTCACTATCAAGTCAGATGTGTGGTCCTTTGGGATCCTGCTCACTGAACTCATCACCAAGGGCCGAGTCCCCTACCCAGGTTTGCTGGGGGAGTGGGGGTGGAAAGGTGGTCATGGGAAGAGCTTCTTCCTAGCTGCCTCTTCAGAGGGCTAGGCCCTCTGACTGACGGAGCCCTACCTTACAGGCATGAATAACCGCGAAGTGTTGGAACAAGTGGAGCATGGCTACCACATGCCGTGCCCCCCAGGCTGCCCAGCATCCCTGTATGAAGTCATGGAACAAACCTGGCGTCTGGACCCAGAGGAGAGACCCACCTTCGAGTACCTTCAGTCCTTCCTTGAGGACTATTTCACCTCCACAGAACCCCAGTACCAGCCTGGGGATGAGACATAGCCTGATTGGGCATCAACCACCTCTCTGGGGGTGCCTGCCAACCCCTTCCTATTCCTAGGGCTCTGGTCCCAAAACCCCCAGGCCTAGAACCCTATAGAGTCCTAGCATGTCAGAGTAAGCAAGTTGCTTTAGGTTCATCTAGGGCAACCTGTTCATTTTAAAGATGGGGCAAATTGAGGCTCAGAAATCATCCCTCACCCACTCTGGCCCCAAGCTCTATCTCTCCCCTTCCCACTTAAGCCCCTACATGCCTCTAGCCTTCCTGCCTGTGCCCCTTCCCCCCCCCAAAAAAAATGCTGAGATTTTTTCTAGTTATTTATGAAATTGTATATCCTTTCCCTCACTTACTTCCTGTCCCTGCTTTCTTACCTGTCAACCCACCCTGGTCCAGACCCCCAGAATTCACCTCCTACTCAATTCCCTCATGTCTATAAGTTACAAACACAGGAAAAATTTCTGTCAGATTCCTTTCCTGCTGGGTGGATGCTGTCGTCCACAACTGGGGTCCAAGCCAGGGTGAAGGAGAGGGTTGCTGAGGGCTCATCACCTCTCTGAATCATGTGTGTGTTTACTGATTTTGTAAATAAGAAGAGTGACCATATGAATCCTTGAGCCATGAAAATTTCTTTCTGTGGGAGGGACGGTGGTCAGTGGGAGGTGAGTGGGCCTGCTTTGGCTGTTGGGAGGAGGAGGAGGTTAGAGAGAGCCCTAATGCCTGCTAATCACAGGGCATCCAAGGTGTGTTCTAGGACACCCCAAAGTCCTGAATCTCATCCTCATATGAGCTTAGGATGAGCTGAGAGATGGATATAGAATCAAGTAACTGGAGATCAAAATATCCCCTTCATTACTGATGTGGCTTTCAGTCTGCATGCAGTGGTTTCACTAAGTCTTTACTTGATTTCAACAGATTTACTGTTCATCACAGGCACCTCAGCAGAACTTCAGGCCTCCTCCACTGAGGCACGGGGAGGACCACAGTGAATCTTCTGCAGCTCCCCAGAAGGGACAGAGGTAGGGCTGGGTGGGCAGAGGCCTGAGAGTCTAGCTCCTTGGATTTGACTTGGGGCAACTCTGCCCCCAAGGGGCTTTTGGAGAGGTTTGGAGGCAGTTCTGTTAGTCACAGTGATAGCGGGGGGGGGGGGGGGGGGGGCTCCTGCTGGCATGTAATGGACAGGGAGTGGGGTACTTAACATCCTGACATGCACCTGTGCAGTGAAGACTTGTTCTACCCCCTGGGTCCCCCTTTGAGAAACTCCTGCAGCTGATGTGACTCTGGGTGGAAACAAGAACAGGGAATAAGGATTCTCACCTCTCCCATCAAGAAGTTGTTGACCCTTAACTCACTAAGGGAAGAGCCAGGGGAAAGAGTCTGGGAACTGGGAATCAAGGCTATGCTTGGCAAACAATGACTCAGTATTGGCTCTGTGAAGGGCCCTTTGCTAGGCAGGAGCCTGGGAACACAGACCTGAACAAGACCTGTCCCTGTCCTGGAGGAGTTCACAGTCAGGCCTGGGAGAAATAGTAATAATAATAACTCATTTATTAAATGTCAGCTGAATGCCAGATGTGTTTACGGTCATCTTTTTGTTTAATCGAGTCCTGAATCTGGTTCTATGATCAGCCCCCGATTTACAGGCAAGGAAACTAAGGCCCAGGGATTACCTGATGTACCAAGGTCACACACATATATGAGACAGAGCTGGGATCTGAACCAAGGCCCATGATCTGTCTACCAGACCTTGCTACCTCTGGGTTTTGGGGAAGGATCCTGTCTGCCCCAGTGGATGTTTAGGGGATGCTTCTGTCTCTAAATATTGGTAGAAGGATTCCCTGGAAACTCCCCAAGTTGAGCGACCTAAAGGAAACAGGATGAGGTGGCCAGTGCAGATGGAGCATTCCCTGTGCTCAGCCCTCTGCTAGGGATGGCTGAACTGGAGCAATAAGATGCAGAGAAGCCAAATGGCTGCTTAGAGAAATGGTCGCAGAGTTGGGAGACTTCGCTTTGCATACTCCAAGTCTCAGGGGCTAAGGCTTCCAGAAGGCCATGGTCTCTGGCCAACCAAACTCATAAGAACCTGATGTTTAAATCAGAGGCCCAGTGTTTCCACTTGCCATGGAGTAAGCAAATAATAAGAGCACAGCTCTGGAACTGTCGTGTAATGTTGTGAATCTTACCTCTACCACTTGCTAATTGTGTCATGTTGTACAAGCTATTAATCGCTCCAAGCCTCAATTTCTTCTTCCGTGAAATGGCAATAAAATGCGCAACACATGTTAGTTGTCTTTGTCACTACCATTTATAGATCATTCACTCTATGTGAGGCATCCTATACACACATGCTGCCATTTAATCCTTGAAAAGTCTTATGAGGAAATGGCTATTATATCTTCATTTTGCCAATAAGAAAACTGAGGCACAGTGAAGTAGATTCTAGGACATAAATGGCAGAGCAGGGGTTTGAACCAAGTCCTCTGACTACAAAATCAGCGCTCTCAGTCTCTAGAGCTTTTTCTCGGGACCAGGATATTCCCGTCTGCCCCCAAGGGGCTCTGCCTGGTACCTGGATATCCGTTTAGTTTAGATGATGGCCCAGCAGGGCAGTGAGCCACCTGGAGTCCCCCAGGTCCCCATGACTCCTCAGCTGAGACCAGAGCTGCCTGAGCCTGGAATCCCTCTGTCTACTGGTTCCCCGTCTCTCCCTCTGATGCAGCCGAATGAATTCTCCCTTGCACCCCCTTTTCTGTGCATCCTTCTGTTTCCTTTAGATAGAGCACAATGCAATTGATTAGGCCTCTGTTTTCTCAATTTCAATCACATCCTCGCCCTGCCTCCCTGAGATTACAGGCGGGTCACCTTGATTGCGGTTTCCACCGTTCACAAAACTCTTCAGTCATTTACAAAACCATCTCTCGCCTCATTCACTCCCCCACCTGGCTCTTCTCCTCTGCGATGCGTGATTTTACTGGCTTAAGACTCAGAGGGCAATTTTATTTCCAAGTTCATGGTGGGGGAGGAAGACACCTAATTGACTAATGCTGGGTGTTTCACATGCATCATCTAATTCGAGCTTCACCATGAGGTAGTGCAGAAGTAGGATTATTCCTGTTTTACCAAAGTGGAAACAAAGACTCTGAAAGGCCACAACGCTTGCTCAAGGTCACTCAGCTGGACAAGAGTCAGGATTTGAACCCAGATTCGTGTGACTTCAGAGTCTCGGGCATCTCTCTGTGTCTCATTCCCTTATTTGATGGAACAGCATGGGACAGTGTGATACTAACCCAGAGTCAGCTCCAGGGAGGACATGCTGCAGACTGGAATGGGGGTAGCCCCACATCTGCTGGGCTGTTTTCATAAAAGGGCCGACTCATTTATTAATTTCACACACATCTACTGATGTCTCCTGTAGGCTGGTCCTGACCAGGAGGCAGAACAGTAAACAATTACAACACTTAGGGGCAAGGTCAGTCTGGAGACCAAGGGAGACTTCTTGGAGGAAGTGAAAGAAAAGTCTGCCAGATGAAGCAGCCAGAGGGTGAGATCATCTCCCACTGAGGGAATAGCTTGTGCAAAGGTCCAGAGGTGTTGTAGAGCAAGGTCAAGTCAGGCAAGTATAAATAATTATATTTGGGAGGGTTGAGGTGAAGGATGAGGCATGGAAGAAGGAGGTTGGAAGGCCAGAGACAAAAGATACTGGGGGGTCAGGAAACCAAGAGTTATGGTCCCTGAGTTGAGAAAAGTCAGTCAGAAAAAGCTTGGGTGGCCTAGGACATATTGGGATGAGTCTATTCTGGATTCCACTGCTCTGGTACTGAGCTGGGTGGACCCACTATCCATTCCAGGAGTTCTCTCCCAAGTATATCAGTCTCCCTCCCACTCCTGGAGATAACACACACCCACCCAACCACCCACCCCTGGATGGTCTTGCAGTGATGTCTGTACTCTCTCTAGTGGCCATTCTGGGCACTACATCCAAAACTGCAGGAACCTTTCTGGGATAGAAGAAACCTTCAGAACCTTCCCATCTCTCAGGATGGGAGAGAGAGTCATTCGGTACAGTTCATGCTCTCAGAAAGCTCACAATTTACTGGTGGTGAGCGTGAAGAGCACAGGCAAAGCAGAAGATGTTGGAGATCAGGAGAGGGTCCTAACCCAATTGGGCAGGGGGACGTCTTCTCGGAGGAGGTGTTTCACTACCAGAGACTTGAAAAAGAAATAAAATTTTGCTTGATAAAGAAGCAAGAGAGGGGCATCCAGACTTGATAAAATTAAGTAGCTCAGAGGCAGGAAATGGGACTGTGAAGAGAGTTAAAATTAAGTAGCTGTGATTGGAGTGAACAATTTGAGGGGGATCTGTGGCTAAAGATGAAAGAGATGGCGAGGTCGGGAGGGGTTGTCTGCTGTGTACTCAATCTAGGATTCCAAACCTTGGGTCACAGGAAGTCACTGAAGAGTTCTGAGCAGGGGAGTAAGAGAGTCAGATCCACTTTCCAAAAGGAACCCACTGGTGACCCACGTGGAGGAAGGATAGGCAGGGAAGAGGTGGGAGAGGAACACTCTTCTTGGACACAAAGAATCACACCAGGTCACACTCACTGGAGGACACAGAGCTCTGGGCAAGCCTGTGAACCAGACGTTGTCACAGATGACAACACCTACAGACTTGTCAGTGGGACCCCAGGCTGAGCACCCAGACACACACACACACAAACTGACATATACTCAAACCCACAACTCAGGACCTCGAACCTGAGGAAGCCGAGGGCATACATTCACTCCTAGCCACAGGCGAGAGTGAGAACCCAGCCCTCTGATGGACGCCGGAATCCACCCGCATGTACTGTGGCTGTCAAGGGCTCTTCCCTGCCCCGCCCCACCCCCACCCCCGGCCCTCACCACCTCGGGCAGGAACAAAGCTGACCTTTGCCCCCTGGCCTCTGGCCTCTCCTCCCACACCCCCTGCCCAGAGGGAGGAGCTGTTTGAAGTCTGGGCTGCAGCTGGGGTTTCCTGTTGCCTGGAGGAATGTGGGAGGACTCGCAGGGAGGGGCGAGTGCGGGGAGGCCAGCAACGGAGGAGGGATAATGGGGACCTGGGGGCCTTGGTTCCCACTGTACCACAGTGAAGGAGAGCTTCCTGCTTCCACGGTCTCTGGGGCCCCAGCTCTGAGCTGTTCCCATCCAGAGGAGGGGAAAACCAAGGCCGAAATGGCTGCAGTCCAACAGGCCTCTTGTTCCCGGATCTGTAGCTCAGTGGTTCAGGACAGGCCCTCCACCTCTTTGGGCCTCAGTTTCTCCTTCTGGGGACTAGGTTGAATCCCTCTGCAACAATCCAGACCTTTCCTGGGGGTAGCTCCAAGAATGAGGCCAGCCCCAGAACTTCTGTAGTCAGAGAGGGCAGTGCCCATTCCTACCCAAGGCTCACTTCACTCTGTCCTTTCCAGGAGCTCCAGGGGCCTGGTCCAGGCTGCTGTGACCTCTCAGTTATCGCTATTATTATTATTATATGGCTCAATAATCCCCCAGCATGCCGGTGCCAGTTTTTCAAACTGCTTTCATATCCATGTGTTCAGTAAATCTTCTCAACAGCCTTGCCTGTAACACAGAGAAGGGGTTACTCTCAGTTTTACACATGTGGAAGTGGAGACTCAGAAAGTTAAGGACACACAAGCAAAAGCAGAATCAGAACCAGGTCTGGAGAATTCCCTGGCTGTCCAGTGGTTAAGACTCCATGCTTCCACGGCAAGGGGTCCAGGTTCAATCTTTGGGAAGGGAACCAAGATCCTGCAAACTGCTCAGCACAGCTGCAAAATAAAACGAACTAGGTCTGTCTGCTTCCTATTCCACATGCCCTCCAAATCCTTAGGCCCCACAACTTTTAGCCCCTCTGGACTCTCACTTCTATTTCCTAGGTCTAGCTACATAACACCTTCTGCTTACATGGAGACAAAAGTGGTTGCAGTGAGCTGAACCTAGAAAGGGATGGTTTAGGTTCTTCCTCTCCTTCAAGTCTGCTTTCTCTGGGAGCTTACAGCTACCCTGCCCAGTCTGTGGTGACTCCAAATGCTGTTTTTAAAGACTGGGTAGCCCCCAGTCCATCCTAAAGGACATCAGTCCTGAATATTCATTGAAAGGACTGATGCTGAAGCTGAAACTCCAATACTTTGACCACCTGATGCGAAGAAGTGACTCATTTGAAAAGACCCTGATGTTGGGAAAGAATGAAGGCAGGAGAAGGGGACGACAGAGGATGAGATGGTTGGATGGCATCACCGACTCAATAGACATGAGTTTGAGTAAACTCATGAGTTGGTGATGGACAGGGAAGTCTGGCATGCTTCAGTCCCTGGGGTTGCAAAGAGTCAGACAGGACTGAGCGACCGAACTGAACTGAGACCCCTTCAGACTAGGCTGATAAACAGATATAGCAATTGGACACTAGGTGGCAGCAGCCACCCACAGGAAGACTTCCCTTGAGTTTGGGGAGGACCCCCCCCCACCCTCTCCACAATACAATTTATTATTTTTTTCCCACAATACAATTTAAAGAGGCTCCAATAGAAAGACCAGTCCCCAGGTTCCTGGGAAACCCTGTAGTGCTTGGTTTCCAGCAATGCCCAACACCTTGGGGGCCAAGCGCACCCAGCCTCCCTGGGACGGGGGCTGCTCAAGCAGACTGGGGTGGGAGGGGTTTGCATGGACAACCCTGCCTAACTTCTATTCCCCTCTCACTTACAGAGCCACGGGCCCTGTACCTCATCACCTAATCTCTCCTCTCCTGTCTTTCCCAAACTCCTCTTCATCCCACCCCACCTGGGGCTCCCTATCGCCCAGAAGCCATCCTGTATTGCCCCCCAATTCCCTCCTCAAACTTGATTCAGCTTAGGTGGGGTCTTCATGCCCCCACCTAATAGGGGGCAGAGCCTAATAGGTAAGGATGTTGTGAGGATGTAAAAGAAAGGGGAACCTGGGCCTTTCCTAGCCTCCCCACTGCTAAAGTCTGACTGGTGGGGGACCAGCTGGGGCAGGATGCCAAAGCCTCAGCTATTTGTGATAACTTTAGGTCAGGCTTGGGAGCTGCAAAGGGCCCCTAATGACTTTAACCATTGCTTTCTTTAATATCTGATCTTACAATGGTTCCCATTCAATGAATAAATCTTTGAACCCAGGGCTTGCCTGTAAGAAGAAGCTGCTCCCAAATGGGGGCCTCTGTGCTGGTCAGTAGCCCCATGATGCCAGATCAATAGATGGAACTATTTAGAGCCCTAGAACTCTCCCATGGCTGTGGTGCATCCAGTCCCTGCAAAGGGCCAACAGAGTGTCCCCCAGATTCCCCCCTACTTCTGTCTCAGAGGAGGGGCTTGGGAAGGGTGGAGGTGTAGGGAAGGTGGTGACAGGGAGCTGCCGTTGGCAAAACGACACCACCTGCCTTCTGTCACACGCTGGCCATCACCTCGTATCACCCCACAGGGCCAAAGGAAGAGTCCAAAACAGGTGGGCCAAGGACAAAGGCACTGCTGAAGGGACTTCAGACACGGGGCAAGACAGAAAAAGCCAGCCAACATTGGACAAAGGAACGTCAGACACCCAGATGAAGCGGGACTAGCACAGGACCAGTCAGGGCCGGTGTTGGTAGACGCCGGAGACAGGACAGCCGCCATGCATTATTCATCTCCGTGTCCCCTGTGAGCCCTGCACACCTCAGTTAACATTTGTCGAATTGAAGTGCCAAGGGAGGACACACAGACGCCAGGAGAGAAGGTCAGATGGAGAGCTGGGGAGTCACAGCTCCCCGCCTGACCCAGAGGTTAAGCAGTGAGCTTTGGAATGGAACAGACCCTGGTCCAGGCGGGCTCTACCAACTTCATCAATAGGGGTCATGGGCCTCAGGGCCCTCATCTCTAAAATGGAAATGAGAACAAAATCATTCTACCAGGTCTTTGCAGGACTCAAGAGCCTTGCGGTGATCAGGAGTGGCAGCACCAGTTCTCCTTCTTGGGCTATCCAGAGACCTCTCCTTGGTAACCAGGCCCTGGCAGTGCACATTCCCATCTGTGGGGATAGGCCAGGCAGGGGGCCGGGGCTAGGGGCTGGATAACAGATGTGACCTGCAAAGGAGGTAGGTGAAAGCGCTGAGTCCAGCCCCCTGGGCACAGCAGGAGCTCTGGACTGTTGAATCTGAATGCTGCTTCCTGACACCAGGAAGAAGCTCAGTCGAATTCAGGAAGGCAACGTGTGTGTGTGTGTGTGTGTGCGTGAGAGAGAGAGAGACACAGAGACAGAGACAGAGAGACAGAGAGAGAGAGACAGAGAGATCGGTGGAGAATCCAGGACTTCATGCATGCTCTTGTCTTCCTCGGACTTCTAGAAAAACTAGTCTTTGGTGGGGGTGGCTAAATCCAGGGCTCAGAACTTTAGATTGGGGGTTCCTGAGTGAGAAGGAGGAGGTGCGGGCGGGCTTTGAGTTTTCTGGAGCAGCCCTCTCTCCATCAACCCTTGCGCTTTACTCAATAGGAAACCTTCCCTGAAGGGAGAACGCCTCCAGGTTCAGGGAGCCGGCCGTCTCCTCTTCCCGCTTCCCCTCTCATTTAATTGGGACGCCCCCAGAAAGTCTCAGGCCCTTTTAGCTAGTCCCTCGATTCCCCCATTCTACTCTCTTTCCATTCTTAGACCCCGCCCCTTCACTCCCACCCGCAACCTCCGCTCCGGCCAGAGACCCCCGCGGGAGGGACGAGGAACGTGGGAAACGTTGGCGATCCTTAGGGAAGGACGCAATCCCCCTTTGGGTAAAGAGGACGCGCGCCCTCGCCCTACAGGCTCGGGAGCTGGGTGACCCCCGCGGGCTCCCGGCCGCGCCGTCGGAGCTGCCGGCGCCGCCCCGCCCGCCCCGCGCGCGGAGCGGCCGAGGCGGGGACTACAAGTCCCGGCGAGCCGCGCGCGCGCTCCCCCCTGGGGTTCCGGATGGTGAGCGGCGAAGGTAAGGCGAGCTCGCAGAGGCAGCGGCGGCGGCGGCGGGGACGGAGAGAGGCAGGCAGGCAGGCGGGCAGGCAGGGCGAGAGACGGCGAGGGGAGGGAGCGAGCGAGGCAGCCCAGACAGACAGACAGGCGGGCGGGCGGGCAACGCGAGCCACCCGCCAGGCTGCGCTCAGCCCCGCTCGCCGCGGAGAGAGCAGAAGGCAGGAGGAGGGAGGGGAGGAGGGGGAGGGAGGGAGAGAGGGAATCCAGCTACCACCACCCAAAGCCAGCGTCTGCTTTCTGTCCTCATTTCCTTTCCCACCCAGCTCTGAGAGCAGAGAAAGGCAGAGGGAGCGAGAGATTGAGACAGTCAGAGGGACAGACAGACAGCCAGAAGAGAGCGGGAGGGAGGAGGGCGGAGGAGGAGGAGCAGGAGGAGGACTACGCGGGGCGCGTTCCCTCCCAGGTTTGCAATTGGGGGGGTGGGGGCGGGGGTGTCCAGGGCTGTGAGAGTGTGTGCGCGGTGGTGGTGGTGGGGGGAGCAAGGGGGGCGAAGAGAGAGAGCGAAGGAGTGATCGAGGTTGGGGGGCGCCGCGGGAGCTGGGGGGCCGGGTCCAGCGGAGTTAGCGGCGGAGAATGTGAGCCGAGGCGCGAGCCATGCTGTCAGCAACGGCGGGCGGCTCAGGGCTCCTCCACGACTCCTCTCCCCAGCTGCCGGGCGCCCGCGTCGCTGCCGCCGCCGGAAGACAGACGCCCCCCGAAACCCCTCGCCTGGCTCGGACCCACGGAGCCGGCAGCCCAGCACTCCGGTGAGTGGCGCCTCCTCCCCAGCCCTAGACCCCCGCTGGGGACCGGCCGGCCGGGCTCTTTTGTGCAGCGCACCGGGGGGGCCCCGCGCCCCCTCCGCGCGCCCCGGTCCGGTCCGCCGGACCCCGTGGCTGCGGTGCCCGCGGTGCGATCGGTCTTTGTTTCCACCGGGGCCCGCGGCTCGGCTGGGCTCGGCTCGAAGCCTGGCAGGCAGCGCCGGGAAGGGGGAGGGGGAGGTGGACGAGAAGGGGGGGCGGGGAGGGGGGGTTCTCGGGTTTCCTGGCCGCCCCGCGGCTCCCCCGGCTCGGGGGCGAGGTGCGCGCCCAGAGCTGCCGCGCGCCCCCTCCTCCTTCCCCCTCCCTCCGTCTTTGGATTTAAAACTGCAATTTGCTCTCCAGCTTGCTGAGAATGTGGGGGGGTGGGTGAAGGGGGGGGACCGTGGGAGCGGAGAACAAGGCTGGATTTTAGGAACGGCGCTGGGAAAGGGGGAGACTGCGGAGGGGAGGAGCCCCTCCCCTCCAACCCCCAAATCCCAAGGTTCCGCTTGTGCTCTGGGAGTTGAGGGGCGGGGACCTAATGACCCGGAGGGGGTGTGGGGCGGAGGAGGGATTTGGGGGCGGCCGGGGCCGGAGGGGTTGGGCCGCGTGCCCGGTTACCTGGCGAACAAAGTCGGCTCACTTTTGCATAAATAAATAAATAATCGCCCATCAATGCGTTTCCTCTGAGGCTCTGATTGAATCGGGGGGCCCCCTCTTCCCCAGGGGGTGGGGTGCTGAGTGACAGCTGTCAGCCCCCTGGGCCAGTCGCTGGGGGTGAATCGCTGAATCCCTCCGCTTTCTGGCTCGGGGCGCATTCCCCTGCTGGGTCTCGGTCCCCGGGCAGAGCCAGAGGGGCAGGGGGCTGGCTCCGAGTCTAGGAAATAACCTTGTTTCCTGTTCTACAGGAAAAGGGACAGCAACCCGGAGAGTTTGGGGGCTGGGGATGAAGACTGATGGGAGCCGGAGGGGTTCCCCAGCAGCCTGACCCCCCAGCCTCCTGCCAGGCGCAGGGGCCGGCCGAGGGAGGAAGGATGTGGGCCTTGCTGGCCCGAGGCGGGAGCTGGGGCTGTCCCCGAGGCGGGCAGCGGGCACCGAGAGGGAGGAGGGAGGCAGAGAGCAGCGGGGGCGGGAATTCTCTACCGCAGACCCTGGGGGCCGGGGCCAGATGTGGAGGGGTGGGGAGTCCCCCCTCCCTGCTAGCTTGGGGGCCCCGGAGGCTGGGCTGGGAGGGGCTGAGCCTAGTGCCCTGGGTTCTGCACCAAGTGCCTGACTGGCAGGGCCAGCTGAATTTGGGCCCAGGCGTCACCCTGGGAGGCAGGGCCAGCCTGCACCAGCCTGGTCCCTGAGCACAAGGAGGGACCCTTGGGGGGCCTATGCCTGTCTGGCTGGGCAGGCGTTTCCCGCCGGACCAGTTGGTGTCAGGCGGGACTTGGCCCCAGCTCCCTGGGCAGAGCTCAGGGTGTGAGGACAAGCTTTGCCTCTGGGTCAGGGTGGCCACATTTTGTCCGCTGCTGCTGCTGCTGCTGCCGCCACTGCCGCCACCGGCGGGGCGGGGGCATGTGCCCAGGCCTGGGCAGAGTCCTGCCAGGAGCATTTGGGGTGTTTCTATTGTTGGCTTGTTCCTGTTCCGTGTGGCGCGGTGTGTGTAGCTGTGTGAGCTGGGGCTGTAAGTGAAAGATTACCAGTCAGTCCACCCCCCCCACACCCCCCCACACCACCACCAACCCCCTTCCCCTGCTGCCTGTCATCGGGGGGCAGGCTGGGTTGTGGTGGTGAGCTGTGGGGACCCCCCCAGGTGGCATGTGCCTGCAGCTTGCCATCTCCCTCCTTTGAACAGATGTATATTTATTTTTATAGTAATGGAAAATCAAACTGGATAGTAAGTTGAATTCTTTTTTTTTTTCTCTTCTGCTGTGTCAATAGTTGGAATAACCCCCAGAGACTTCTTGCCCCAAAGCTCCCACCCTCCAGAGGTTGCAGAGATCAGTGAGGGCATGAGCTTTGGGGGACCAGTGGGCACCAGTTCAAACTGGTGATTCTTGTCCCTCTCTGGCATTGGGGCAGGTGCCCAGGTGGGCAGGCATTGCCCCCTCCCCAGGCATCCCCCCCACCCCTACTCCCCCAGTGTAGTCTGTCCTTTAGGCCACCTCCTTGGTCAGCGCCTAAGCTGTGCCCAAGCCCTCAGGGGACGTTCTCCTGGTGGGCTCTCTCCCCCTTCCTGGGCTCCTGGCCCACGTGCTGATATTTATTTTCTGTAGTAAAATCCATTTTTAATGCCGTTACTTTTGAAATAATATAGAGAGAAACAAATGTGATGTGTTTAAGTTGCCCTCTGTGAGTTTTTAATGTGATCTATGGCTGAGGTAGTGATGGAAGGAGCTGTTGGGCTTGGAGGAATTTGGTGTCATAAAGAAAAAGAGCTTACTGTTTATTATGTTTGCTGGGCTGGGGGGTCTGGAACAAGGTCGTGGGGGCCAAGAGCCCCAGCACCCCCAGGTGCCGTGATGGACAGCAGTGCTTCTCAGTTTGGAGGTGTGTGGTTTCCAGGACTCTTTTGCCTTGCTCCCCAGCCCTTGATGGGGCCTTTGGTGAGGGGGCCTGGGGGCTGGGGGGTTTGTCCCCCACCCCCACAATTCCACCAGGTTAGATTTTGCCTGAGAGGCTTCTGGAACCCCCTGCTGAGCTAAGTGAAGGTGTGTTGTAGCGAGGATGGATTTGGACTCTGAAGGAGATTTAAGAGATGGGATCTTGACCTGCTTGGTGTGCCTGTGCCGGATTCTTGAGGGGCAGACAGTCCCCGGCAGAAGACCCTTTTTTAAGGGGGGGTTTGCTGCTGTGGACCGGCAAAGCCCCCAAGGGACTTTGCTGGTTTTCAGGTCAGCCTGGAGCACTGGCTGGAGCCACTGCCTCCAGTCGCTTCTGTTCCCCATTGGACAAGGGCTTCCTCCAGGCAAACCTGATCCCCTCCACTTCCCCTCTTCTCCACTCTGCCCCACCCCAGGGCAACTTTTTTTGGTTTGTGGAATACAGAGCTCTGTGTCTCATGCCAGCCACCCAAGACCACAGGGTGCCCTGCCTTCTTCGTACCAGATGCCCAGGCGCTTCTGGTCTGATTCGTGAGGTCAAGCAGATTGGCTATTATGGGATGGAGCCCAGCTCCGTCGCTGGGTCCCCTGGGTCTCTTGGGACAGAGCTGGGGGAGGGGGAAGCCAGGATGGGGTGGAGCTGGGAACTGAAGACAGGGGGGAGCAAGGGCAACATTGTTGCTAATGTCAGCAGATGGGCCCCCCAGGGAGAGAGCTGGAGTTGGGGGAGGTGGGGAGGAAAGAGACCCAGTCACACGCGAGGTGAAGAGAGGGAAAGATGGTGATGGGGGGGAGCGGGGAGAGGGGGAGCAGAGAAAACAGTCTGGAAGAGCCAGGAGCAAACCCCAGGAGATGGGGCATCCAGACGACCTAGAAGGCCTAGGCATGTGCCACTCCCCACCTCAAAGCCCGAAATGAGCGGGCACTTGAGAGCCTCTCACCCAAGATCAAATGCTGCTAGGATTGTGTTTGGAGACCAGACAAGCAAACGTCTCAGGGAAGAGGGAGGAGGACAGACAGGTGGGAGGGGGAGAAGGGAGGACTCCCACAGGAGGAGGGAGAACGGGAGACCGGGGGATTCCAAGGGTCACTAGACTGAGGTTGCTGCCCCACGCAGGGTCTCCCCACTGCTTTGCCCAGATGTCTGGGGATGGAGCCTGGCTCTTCTTTGGACCTGGGGGCGGGGCCGGAGGTAGGTACAGCGCCCCACAGGTTGTGGGCGCTCTGCACCAGGAGGCATCGGGCTTTTAAAAGCGGGGAACATCAGGAACATTAGAGGCACCAGGGTGCCATGCAATTGCATCCCCCGCTCCTTGTTTGACGGGAGGAGACCCAGTCTAGAGAGCACCCCCTAGCCCCTGCTTGCCAGGGGTCAGAGGCGGCAAAGCCAGATCTGGGACCTAGGCTCTTTCCCTCCACCTCTCTGTAGTTAGAGAGTTGGAACAGCTGCAGGGGGGCCTCCTGGGTGCGCAGGGGGGGGCCAGAGCCTGGGGAGAGGAGCAGGCAGGCACCCTTGTGGCCAGAGCCCCCCCAGGGGAGGGGGAGGCGCCGCTGCCGGGAGAGAGAGAGAGGGAGGGGAGAGAGGAGGGAAACAGTGAGTCAGGCTTCCAAGAGCTGAGGATGAGAGAGCCAGAGCTGGGAGGGAGAGGGCAGGGAGCGCTGCTCTGAAGCGAGGAGAGGGAGGGGGCCCAGCCAGGGGCAAAGAGAGCTCTGGAGGGAGGGAGCCAGCCCCTGGCCCCGGCCCAGCGGCAGGGCTGCGCAGGGCTGTGCGCCCTGCGGAGGGTGCAGCCAACATGGACTCTGCCCACGGCGGGTCAGGAAGGAGCCAGGTCCTGCCCCTGCGGGGCCCTCTCGTCATCTGTGACCCCACCCCAGGGTCTCAGGAGCTCCTGACTGTGTCGTCCCCTTCCCTTCTTCGGTTTCCCCATCTAGTGTGAGATCGGGACGTGAGCTCTTCTCCGAGAGGGAGTAGGGGGAACAGAGCCTCCTGAGAGGGGTCTGAGGGCTACCTCCTGCAGTGCTGGATCCCTGCCGGGGACCCTGTTGGAGGCCGCTGCCAGTCAGCGTAGGGCCAGGTCTCTGGATGGGGGCTCCTATTAAGCCCTCTTGAGTCGCTGGGCCACAGAGTGGGGTGTTAGGCTGTGAGTGCTGGGGGGGCAGAGTGTGTATATGTGGGTGTGAGGTGCTGGGCTGGCCATGGTAGGTGGACTGCCTGGGGTCTCTTGATGGCCAGTGCCTCGACAGGGCCACGATCTCTACATGTCCAGAACCAACCTCCATTTGGGGAAGGGGGGAGACATTCAAGTGATTTCCACCCACCCCCCACCCCCCATCCCCAACTCTGCCTGCCATATCCCTGTGGGTCAGAGGCTGTAGGGC